ATAATAATAAATTCAATGGATTTTTCGCAGAAATACATATCATCGCTGGTGTTATGGAGACGACCGGTCAGTACCGTATACTATGCCACACACGAGCTCATCCATCAACTGATATCACTATTCAAATGGTCAGTTGTCTTGTATTTGAACCGTAAAACAGTGATAACTAATATCTATTGATTCATTGATAATCCCATAGGGTTTTACGCCATACAAAGACCTGTTTATTAGTTACTGTCGTTATTATGGCATTACTGGGCGCCTCCTATGTTGACGGCCCGCACCAGCAATGGGTACACGTGTTTCGCAAACAGTTCCTGTGGTGCGCCTATTGGTGCGGACTCGGCATACTGTCCAGCGTAGGCCTGGGCACCGGTTTGCACACGTTTTTGCTGTATTTAGTGAGTGTTTTATTGTATTTTTAATGTGTTTTTTATGTCTATTTTTAGGGATTTGTTTGAGTGTTTGAAGTTTTGTAGTTTAATTCGTGGGATAAAGGATTAAAATACTTTTTAATGAGAGATTAAAGCGATTAATGAATGCATCGCTTGTTTGATATAATTATTGAAATTATGCCAAAAGTTTTTAACAATTAATTAAGGCATTAATGTTTTTGAATGCCATTATTTGAAGTGCTTTTTAAATGCACTTATTTTTAGGTTTTGTTAACANCATCACTATCACCAATGGCTAGTGATCAGTGATCGCGGGCGATGATCACCACCGATGACTAGTGGCAAAAGACACAGCGGTTTGGGATAGTACTAGTGTGGGATCAGCTGCTGCGGTGATTATCACTGCTGACACCACCACTCATGGGAGGGATCAGTGACAACAACAACACTAACACCACTGCCTCTGACTATCACAAGCCATGGGGCAATGTCTTCGGCTCTGCGGCGGCCAATACATACCGGTTGTCCTCGAACTCGACGAAAGCGAACGGCGGACCCCTTCGGTTCTTCAGGTCGATGAACGATATCTTCCCGAACTTGTAGAACAGGTCTTCGATGTCTTTGGTGCGGATATCCGGCGGAAGATTACCGACATATATGCGACAATCGCTGCGATGGGACGAAGACATTGGCGACGGCGGCTGTGATGTGGGATGTGTTTGGCGGTGATGTCTGTGTGTGTGTGTATTGGCTAGTGTTGTGGCGATAGTCTCTCTCCACAACTATCCGATGGCGGCGTATGTATGGTCTGTCTGTGTCTGTGGATCAGATCGGGTGATGATTGTGTGAAGATTGCACTAAACAATAACACTGTATTCAATGGCAATAATAAACACAACCAATAATATGGAGTCCTTTAACCACAAAATACAATACACTCTCACTATTCAAAACGCACAGCACTTTTGGTACCATTTGTTACGCGCGGTGTTCAGTATGTAATGCATGGGTGTATAAAATAGTACCGATTTGTCGGCCCCTTATGTGCCATACCTTTGTGTTCAGTGAATGCGAAAAACACATGTGATTGTATAGTTAACGCATGCGCGCGCCTACAGTGCACTCTCTTTTTTCATACACTCCCTCCCAATCATTGCTAATAAATAACGTTTTGGAAATTTGCTAAAGTAAAGTAAACTGTGCGTTATTATTTTAAGGCACCATCATTGTAAAATATTTTAAATGTTCAGATCTTGCATCATTGAAAATTGATTTACATAGAGAGAGATAGGGAGAGAGCATTCAAGTTTTCAACGGTTTTGTTGCGTTTCATAACTTGATGCAATGCATTAGGGTATTTAAAAGCAGTGCAAAAAAGTTACTTGACCCTCATTTCGTCGCGTGCTATCGATAAGCAAACATTAACAAATACAGTATTGTGTGCATTTAAAAAAACTAAAAATTAATTAAAAGTGATTCAAGTTTAAACCTAAAAGTTATTGATCAAGTTGTTTAAACGTTAACATTCACGCGGACTAATACAACCCTATTATTTGTGTGATCATCACTTTCGGGAACTAATACCTACACCGAAGCCATGCCCAGAGCTAAACAGGCGCAGACCACCCGCCGCGCGGCCAACCGTCCCGTATCGGGCCGTAGTGTCGCCCGCAAGAGCACGGGTGGCGTACCCTGGAGTCAACGCCCGGGCCGTACGCCAGTGGCCGCGCGACCGCCGCCATCGCCCACACCGTCGGACGACGACTCGATGGCCAACAGTCAGAGCACCAGCAGTGGTGGCGGAGCCGGTGGTCGGCGATCGGTGTCACAGCAAGACATGCAACGCATACTCGAGACCAAGAGAGGCAACGGGTCGGGCTATGGGCACAAGTCGACGGGCGGCGCCCACCAAATGGCGCCCAAACGCCGCCCCTATCGCCACCGTCCGGGCACTATCGCCCTGAAGGAGATCCGCCGCTATCAGCGCACGACTGAGCTATTGGTGCCGCGCCTCCCGTTTCAACGCCTGGTCCGCGAGATTGCGGCCGATTTGAAGGACGACCTGAAGTTCCAGTCGGCGGCGCTGTCCTGTCTGCAGGAGGCGGCCGAAGCATACCTCGTGGGCCTGTTTGAGGACACAAACCTGTGCGCCATTCACGCCCGACGCGTGACGATTATGCCCAGGGATATACAGCTGTCCCGACGTATAAGGGGTGAGCGTACGTAAGGGGGGGGTTTGATGCCCGGCGCCGGCCAATCAGGCGGTGTTTTAGTCCCGACGGCGGACCCGATGTTCAGTACAATTTGTTTAGTATTAGTTTTGTCTGATTTTTATACTCATTGTATTTATTAATCATTTATTTTTTGCTTTATTTGTATGTGTTTTGTGTTGTTTTTTTTGGTCAAACTTTTGCGTTTAATTGTAATTATTATTTTAATTATAACTAGTTTTACAATTTTGTTTTAAAAAATAATTACAGACCAATATTTATAAATGACATATATAATTTTTATACTTATACTTAATTAACAAATATATAAACATTTATCTAATGATTATTTATCGAGTTTTAATTCATATATAAAATGTAATCCAATATATAATTGTAATACCATTTAAAAAGCCATAATAATAATTTAAAATGCAATAAAAATATAAAATTCATAATTGTAAAAAACAAAAACACTTGAATAATCCCTAAATAAAACTTATAAATCGCAAATAAAACTACAATTACTTTGAATAAATTACTTAAAAAGTTTTAATCAAGGTTTAAACACGCGTAACGTTGTATACGAGCGGCTCGTTTGCTATAACACGTTAGCACAACAGAGCGCGAGTAGAGTGGCGCTAATGGGCGGCACAACTCTCACCCAAACACCGCTTGCGTTGAGTCGAGTGTTAGGTTGAGTGACGTTAGACGGCGTCACACATGCCGTACAGCCATAGCATAGCATTGGATATGAAAAGCAATGCATTGTTTGTATTGTGAAAGTCATTCAGTGTTTGGGATTTTTGTGTTGAGTTTTGTATTGAGTGTTGTTTTCAATCCATTTTCAATGAGTTTTATGAACCGATTGTGTGTTTAAAGTATTGATTGCTTTTTGTTGTTGTGTTGAGTGGTTTAAACACAACACGTGTTCACACAACCAATCGGTCAGTTAATCACCACTAACTGATCCATCGGTACAACCTTTTCATACAAGACTGAAGACAATGGCCGACAATAGCAGCCAAGAGTTGCGGACAACGCGACTGAGAAGTGGCAAAACTATTGGCGGCGATCGACACAGAGCTGATCCCAACGGTGATAGTAAACAACACAAGTCCAGCGGCGGTGGCGGCGGTAATAATCATCATAAGAGTGGTGGCGCCGGCTTTGAAGCCACAGACAAATCCATAATTAATAGTAATAATAGCCATAACAAGAGGACGAGCGGTGATAATGGGCTCAAAGACAATGGCATCGCCTCTACCGCTGCCGCCGATGACGGCCGCAAAGAAGTGGTCAACGGTTTTCATAATAGTAGTAATGTTAGCAAAAACAACAACGAGTTAGATGTGAGTAATACAGTGTATATCTGTGTTATTGTGAACCCCAATATTGTGTACTTTACCGGCGATTATGTCTGTATAGTTAGTGTATGTATGCGTCCAAGTGGTGGACACCGTAT